ATCTGACCTAACCCAGGTCAGATGTAGTAACACATTACTCCTGTGCTGTCGTCACTCCACTGGCTTCCAGTCCGTTTTAGAATTGATTTTAAACTTCTGCTGTTTGTTTTTAACGCCATCAATGGCGTGGCGCCCTCTTACTTGTCTGAGATTTTAACTTTTTGCAATTGTGGCAGAGCTTTACGCTCCTCGGGTCAGCTTCTGTTAGAGGTCCCTAGGTCAAGACTCAAACAGTGGGGCGATGGTTCTTTTGCCGTCGCTGCTCCCAGACTGTGGAACAAACTACCCCTGACATCCGCACCACTACTGACCTCAGCCTTTTTAAAAAAAAAAAGCTTAAAACCCACTTTTTTAAATTAGCATTTAATTCTGACTAGGATAATACTGTCTCTTAGATGTCCTCTTTCTGTGTTGCTCCTTTCTATGCATCTCTGGAAGGCTTTTAATGTCCTGCAGCGCTGCACCACTACAGCACTTTTAATTGTATCTTATGTTTTGTATTGTTTTATGGCTTTGCTGTAAAGCACATTGGGTACCATTTGGCTATTGTAAAGGGCTATACAAATAAACTTGATTGATTGATTCATTATCAGGGATCATTTACACGATTAAAGAAAAGGTTGCAATTTATCTGGTCATGCATGGAAAACTTTTCCTTATCCTTAAAAAACCTGAGGTTGCATTATTTTATCAAACAGCTGCATGTGCCTCTTTTTAATATTCACGGCTTACCATAAGTGTGCCTTTTCTCCCGTGGCGTCCTTCCCCTCAGCCTGCAGGCATCCCTGCAGCAGAGCTCCGCCACCCGCCAGCCGGCGCAGGGTTCTCTGGAGGTCCGGGGCTCTAAGCAGACACCGACGGAGGCCAAAGTGGAGATGCAGAATCAGGCCCACGAAGAGCCTGATGTTTGCACCCTCAGCCTGGCAGAAAAGATGGCGCTGTTCAATCGACTGGCGCAGCCACCCAGCAGGGTCACCCGCATCCGAGGCGACACCCGTCAGCGCAGATCCAACGCTCGCTACCAGACCCAGCCCATCACCCTGGGCGATATGGAGCAGGTGGGGGGGATCTCTAATTCTTCTAACTAAACATATTTAAGCCGTTTTCACCCAAATGTCTCCCTGCTTTATTTTAGTTATTTTTTTCCCAACAAGCCTAAAATAAACTTCCCGTCTCCATATTTATACTTTAGTCACCTAAACTGTAGAAAAATGTAACTGTCAGCCATTTGCATAGGGACCATAGGGACATGTCCCTACCAAAATTTTGGAAGGACCTATTTGTCCCTACCAATAATTGGATGTAAACAACAT